CCATGTCCATTATTAGACACTCTTGCTTTGCGCTACAGTTTATGACCATTTCTGTAAAGGTGTTTATTTTTATGACAACATTATTAGGCATTTTGTAGTCAAACACAACGGCAGCGCTCGTCAGCTCCGATATCCTATTGCTTTCCAATTCATTCAAACCGTTATAATCCGTGATTTCCCTAAACATGGGAACAATTGCCGTGTTTTTCTTGTTTTCATTGATTTCTAGCAAATCCTCTTCTAATGTAATGTCTATAATACTGTTTCCAATGTCTGTTATTTCATTCAAATTAACATCAATTGAATTGTTGAGCAATTTATCCAAAATGTCTTTATCTGTGTTTCCATCAAAAATAGTTAAATCATTTGATGAGTCCGTAGAGGAAGGCATCAAAGTATTGGTGATATTATCACATTTTTTACGTTTCAATTTATTTAATTTGTTTTCTCGCATCGCTTTCTTTCTCCTCTCATTTTGTTCATCACTTCTGATAAATTCCTATTAAAAATCAATATTTATTACTTTTTATTAATTTTAAAATTAAACACAAAACTGAAACACTTTTCTCATCCCAACCGCTAAATACTTCTGGAGCCGACATTTTTTGCATAAGTTTCTCGTCAATGGGTTTATAATGCAATTATCATTTGATCGACAACTCCATGACTTACAACATAATTATAAAGTAATTATAAGTATATAAAGTATTAACAAAATTTAATAAAAATTATTCAAAAAGCTTATTCTTGAGTCCATGGCGTCTAAAAAAATTATTTTTACGATTCACACGTAATTAACATTCATGTTTTTAATTAATACTTAATTTAATAAATTATATACAATTTAATACCGAATCTTTTATCCGCCCGAAGTTTGCATAATTGATAGAATTTCTTATCATTTAATTCACTTTTCAGTAATCATCACTCGATGAAAAGTTTAAAAGCATAATTGTTATAGTAATATTCATGTATGTTTGAATAATAATTACTAAATATTCAACATTAAATTCAGTCTAATGATAGTCTATCACCATATTAGCGTGAATGACATTTATGTAATCTGTATAAATTACCTAAATTATCATAATTTAAGTAATTTATTTATAACGGTATTTATGACGGCTTTATAAATGTTTATGTTCAGATGCTTCAAAATTGGGGACATTTCTTGCTCTCACCATCTGGTAAGTGAGTTTTTTTAAAGGTAAATTTACCTGAAAGTAAATTAATTGAAAAAGGTCATTTTAATTCACGTTACCACTGCATCCACACATCAACAAAGTGTACATTTATATTAATTTTTAAATATGTATTAATGTATTAAATTTTCAAATTGGTTATGCATTTTTTAACAAATGTATATTTATTCAAAAATAAAAATTTTGATGAAATAAAAATTGTAATAAAACAGAAAACGTGTTAAGTGTCACTATTTCTTAACCGTAATTTGGAAACAACATTACATTTGCAGTGACATTGATTGTGCGGATCAGTGCCGGCGACGTCACTGCGCTTCCATGGGCTTTCTCCGTGGGCTGATCGGCCGCGGTTGAGGTGAGCGTCGGGCGCGCAGATACTGTCGGCTCCTCATTGAGCCACTGAGCCTGGCGTCGACAATGTGGTCGCCGCACATCGCGAGGGCCATCAGCAGAGCCATACCGACCAGACATATGGTGTAGATTATCATTGGTTACGAGCTGTGGGTTCGGGCTATGGATTAAATGTTATTTATTATAAATAAATGACAAGAATTATCATGAGTTTAGTATTAATACTACTATAAGTGAGTGAGATCATTTAAATAGTAATTATTTTATTAGTTAATACATTGAAAAGTAAAAGTAAAATAAATAAAAGCAATAATTAAACGTTTCAAAAATGTCTTACTTTGTTTAGCTCTCAAGACTTTAGCGTAGAATGAGTTTTGCAAATAAAAAAAAGTGATTCGTTTATAAAAAAAATTGCATTCTAATAAACACACGGTTTATATAATTTAAGTAAACGCATAATTAATATTCTATTTAATATTCTACTTAAAATCCAATTACAATAAATGCGTCAATGAATTTAGTTTCAAAAAATTCCAACATATGGATTAGACTTGCAAATAAATTTCCAATAATGAGTGATTCCCTTCATTTACCCGTTTTATAGGGACAATGAGAAGAACGGGAATTAAAAATAAGTTTAAGTAAAGGGATAGAAATTTTCTATAACAAAATATTTCGCTTTTTCCTTTATATTATAATATAAACCAAATAAACTTTATATTAAAAGGGAATGTTAAGCGAAGAGGGAATATGAAGGTAAAGAGATTCACTCTTTTCAATAACAAGTGATAGAGTAGTGTATATTTTGGTAGTGGTATTATTACTTCACGACAGTCACACCCCGTAATTACGCAATTAAATAATAACTAATAATAATTAAATAGTAATTATTTGATTATTTAATATATTTTAATATAAAATTAAGGCAATTATTAAACACATCAGAAATATTTCATATTATCTGCCTGTTAACAATTTAGAGTAGAATTAGTAGTTAACTGTTATGTGCCTTAATTTATAATAGTTTTTTTTAATTGAAAATATGGTTTTATATAATTTAATTACATTTATAATTAATTGAAAGTTATAGACGTCAATCAATTATTTGTTAAGGTTTTATATTTCTTGACGGCATTCACATCCGTAATAACGCAATCAACTAATTCTAAACATAATTAAAAAATATACAATAATTTAAAATAAAAAATAGTATAATTAAAATTGAGATATCCAAATTAACCTTTATGTTATCATTTGATTGTGGTTAACCCGGGTCAAATTCTAAATTATTTGTGACTCACAATTTACGGGGTAAAGTGGGCAATAGTGAAATAATATATTATGTTTCTTGCATTACATTCATTTAGAAAGTTTTTATGTTTCCAGCATTTTTAGAGAGAGAGAGAGAGAGAGAGAGAGAGAGAGAGAGAGAAAGAGAGAGAATGCTGTATGTGTTTCAAGAAAATAATACTTATTATTTTATTTCAAAAATTTAATTTATTTTCATTAATTTAAAAGTTTGCTATTAATTCCACACAGAATTAAATGAATATAAAATATGCATTAGTTTAGCTTAAATCAAAACATTTTATTATATTTTAACAATATAACAGATTTAATTTGATTATTAAAAATCTATTATACATGTAACTTTATATTGTGTAATATGCTATTTGTATTCTAATTGAAATGTTATTTGATTTGAAAACACAATTATCATTAATTATTAATTAAATTGGTATTTAGAAAATAGCAAATTAAAAATAAATTCAACACATGTAAATATAAAAATAAAAGTTTCACAGCAAATGTTAATACTGCTCATAAGTCAAATGTTGCTCATAAGTCAAATGTTGCTCATAATTGCTCATAAGTCAAATGTTTTAATTATTTGATTAACACTTCCTATAAATCGCAAGAATTTAATTATGAAGAGATTATCTAGATCATGATTTATAATGCAATATAACACATGATGGTTGATCACAATTAATAGTACATTATCATGTACCTAGAATTTTAACATAAATTATAATATCATTCTCGTAATTCTAACTTTACCAATTATCATAGATCTCTACATTTTCACATAAACCAATATTAATTTATGCATGTTATAAATATGATCAATGAAGAATGATAATAATTAATTTTTAATTCAACATGTATGGCACGAAATGACATATTATTTTTACAATACAGAATGATTAAAATAAAGTTATTGCTATTAATGCATCTGAAATTATTATGTAAAGTTGAAACAAAATCTAACCATCACTGTTTATAAATTAATTTATTATGTTGTATTAAGGCGAGAATATTTCATTCATCATTGGACCGAAATATTTAGTATATGGCTTATATTCAGTTACAAAAAGTTTGCCCTGCATTTCATTTAATACATTTACATCACTTAAAGTTATCATCAGTTTTTGTAGTTTTGGCTGTGATTCACATTCGGACCCGTATTTCAATAGTAGATATCTTTGCAGTAAATATATATACAGTTGTTGTTCGAGTCTAATGTTAAATATAATTAATAATTAAAACAAAATGTAAAATATAAACTAATTGAGAAACTAACTTAACAGTAGGTTTATGTATTAAATTTGGTTGATTTGGATTAAATAACATTATTGCCGTCAACTAAACATAAAAATAATTAGCCCAACAATTAAATAAATTAACATGTCAAATTAATAACCTATTACCAGGTTTATAATAATCGGGTCGCTGTAATCCCACACCAGTAGAAATTGTCCATAGTAATATTTCAACAAATTATAATGTGTCTGTTCGAACATACACAAATCGAGTTGAACTGATCTTGAACTATCCTAGATTAATAAATAGTAAACGCTTGTTAACACAATATTTTTGACCATGGTACAAATAAAACTCATAAATCATATTACAAGTGGCATGACAAAACAGGTACGATCCTGGTGATAATATTTCAAATTCCGGATTAACATCAAGTCTTTGCCGCCGTATTTAACTAAAGCCAAGCGATCGTTAGGACAGATAGTGTTGAATGCCATCAAATGTTGTGCAAAACTTATTAAATCAGTCATAAATTTTTCGTTTAAATGAGAATAGTTTACAATTATTTTCTTTAACCCTAATATTTTGTTAACTATTTTATTGCTATTTAAGCGATAGTTGAATACATTGGAAGCGATCATCAATTCCCGCATCCGATTGCACTCTAATTGATTCAAACCCTTATAATCGATGAGTTCCCGGAATACGGGAATTAATGGCAATTCCGGTGACTCTTCATTACTTGCAGTGAATATATTGTTCGTCACATAGTTTTCAATATCTCTGATCTGTTCCGTCAGCTCTTCGGCACTCGTATTGATACTGTTTTCTAACAATATATCAATTTCTTGACAAAAATTACTGTCAATTGGTTTTGAATCAGTCGACGAGTGACTTGTAGTTAACGGAGAGTTACAATAACCTGAATTAAAATTAACATATAATTAGATTAATTAAGTAATTAACATATTTATCATTTTATTTTAAATATAGGTTATCAACATATTTATTAAAACATTACCCAAAGAAACCACTGATTCATTGCATTGCAATTGTTTTAGTCTATTGTTTATAACAACTTGTTTTAGTCTTTCATTTTCCTCTTTACTCCGGATTAACTCCTAATAAATAAAAATTATAAATATTTTCATTCATTAATTACTTGTTTATTAAAATCACACACTTTTCTCATTCTTGCGGCCAAACACTTGTCGAGTCGACACTTTTTACACCACTTTCTGGTTAATAGGTTTATAACGCATTCACCGTTTGATTGACAAACCAATGGCTATAAAAACCAGAAAAAAATACAATAACATTAATTATATTTTTTATATAAAATCAATTAAACCTGATTTTTGGGTGCAAATGTCCTAAAGAATGCTTTACAACAGTCGCAACTAATCGCACCAAATGCCTTGCTGCATTAAGATAAATAATTAATGTTAAATTCTAATTAAGTAAATAAAATTAAAAAGTCAATTGTATAATTGTTTGTTAAGTCTATGGATTCATTACCATTTGCTTTATCGCCACAAATGCAGCAGATTTTGTTTATTTCAATTATAATTATGTGATTACTTTTGTCACAATTTTATTTATTTTAATTCAGATAAAATACACTGTTTATAAAATTATAATTTTGTAAACAACATTATACTTTACGTCATCTAAATAAATAAACAAAGTAACAGGTTTATCAGTAAAGAACACAATGACATTTATTTAGTTTTATTAAATTTAACACATATTGCAAAGTAAACAATATTGATATTTTACTAATAACATTATAGTTTTTATAGTTTTTAATAATAAATTTTATTAATCATAAAGCGATGAAATACATATAATGTAATTATTTAAAAATATAATTAAGTTGTTTCAAAGTTTGTATAATTAATATGATATTAATAATATCGTTTTGTAATGTTTAATAAAATAAGTTTTAAAAATTTATAAGTTAAATTAATTCTGCCATTATTTGATTCAAGCATTAATATTAGATCAATGTTAAATATTTGGCTGAATATAATGTGATTTTTTAACCCTTAACGTGCACCGTGGCACCATTTGTATGAATGTAGGGTTAAATAATTATTTAAAAATCAACAACAAACACCAGCTAAAAAAAATTTCAGATATGTGTCTAAAGTAAAAAGTTTTAAATATTTAGAAC